ATCCAAATTTGGATCCAAAAACGGACGGATGCAAGATTTCGTTGTAAGCTTTTTTTCAGGAGGTCAAGCGCAGTCGCAGAAGTGCACCGCACTCGAGCCACTTGTCGGCTTGAAGTGTCCAGTGTCTCCACTGAGCTTCATGTACATGGTTGCTCAACGCATTTTGAGCTTGAGCATTGACCCCAACGCATGCCTTTTTGGCATGCCCCCACCAGCCATCAAGGGACTGTGTTCCGGCCCAAGTTCCTGGGACTGCCCCAGGCTTCGTGAACTCGTTCTTCTTGTGCTTGACTTTGTCACGCACAACACCAGGTAAATCTACAGCATACGCCTGGGCGCCATCTGTGTGTTGATGAGCTCCAGTTGTTATCTTCCTACGAGCTAAGTCCAGGAACTCTTCTCTTGTGTATGGCGGAGGGCACGATCCACCAGTGGGCTTTCGAGTAGACTTGGACTGCTTCGCATCTCTTTCTTCGAGATATAAAGAAGAGGGATCTCCGCGTCTCTTCATACCCACATACTCAATCCACTGGACCTTATAATGAGGGGATGAATTACAAGCCGTAAATCTTGAACCCAGTACATACACAAAGATTGCTATTTAAGCCTGGGTCTTTCAACTTGGATTTTGAAACGAAGCCCGTATGCAATTTAGGAATAAGTGTTTCAAGTTCAATATTCTACCTGAAGCCCTACATGATTTAGGGAAGGGTCTTTCAACTTGGATTTTGAAACGGAGCCCGTATACAATTTAGGAAAAGTTAAACATTCTACCCGAAGCCTAGATGATTTAGGCCTGAGTCTTTCAACTTGGATTTTGAAGCGAAGCCCGTATGCAATTTAGGAATAAGTGTTTCAAGTTAAACATTCTACCTGAAGCCCTACGTGATTTAGGGAAGGGTCTTTCAACTTGGATCTTGAAACGGAGCCCGCATGCCATTTAGGACTGAATGTTTCAAGTTGACTACTTTACGTGAAGCCCTGCATAATTTAGGGCTGGGTCTTTCAAATTGAATCTTGAAAAGGAACTCGGAACCCCTAGTATACTTTGAACTTGGACACTTTGCAGTAGGGTTTAGGGACTTAGGGAGGGGGTTTACTAACACAAAAAGAAAAATGCCCTTAGGGTTTAGGGACTTAGGGAGGGGGTTTACTAACACAAAAAGAAAATGCCCTTAGGGTTTAGGGACTTAGGGAGGGGGTTCACTTATGGCGTAGGGAGAGGGATATTCAAAAAACCTAGAGATTTAGGGATGCCAGGTGGGAGCGCAAAAGCTGCCCGGGAACGTCCTCATCAGAGGCCAACTGCTTTCGGAAGCAAGCTTCGTCGATCTCGAACTCGTCGCGCGGACCGCGAGATGAAGAACTGCTGCCCGTTCCGAACTTGCCATGGTGCTGGAGGTCGACCACCCAGGTTTTCACAGCTTCGCGCCAGTAGCCATAGACAGTTTCGACACTGGTCCTTTTCGCATCCTTGATGAGGGCCGGAACTAAAGATTGTTGAACACCCCACGCAGCGCAGAAGAGAATGGCAGCTTGAGTTTTCAAGCTTTTCGAAGCGCCTCGCAACTCGAAAACTGGATGATCCGTGTGCAGATGTACAGGTTTTCTGCAACTCTTCTTCGTGCACTTTTGCATGTGTGTTTGCTTGACTGGCTTGGGAAGAGGCGATCCACACGCAGGACACGCATTGCGGTAGGCAAGGTGGCCATGCTGTAGCAGGTGCTTCCGAATCCTGTGTTCAGTCATACACAACAGATCTTCCAGCGTAGTCTCCGTTTGGGATGTCACAACCCGCTTTTCGGACTTCCAGTCTGAAGCAGGTAACTTTTGCTGGCGAGCTGGAGTGTACCCGCAAGCAGGTTGACTTCTGGCCGGTCTTCTCTTCATCTGCAGGAAACCCCGCTTTGGCTTCTGCATGGAGCCTCTGCATTTGCTGGACTTCTGTTTTTTGGTTTTAACATTTCTCGAACCCGACTTGGGAACTTTCTTATGGGATCTGGCACCCCGTCTCCAGATCGGCCGCTTCCTCGAGACTACCTTGGACCAGCATTGAGGCCACCACTTCAGCCACTGCCGTGGGAGTTGCTTCCATTCCTGAGTGCTTTTCCGCAAGCCAAAGACATATAACTGACATAGGAAGAAACTTTACACAATACCTGCAGTTCTCGTATGCCGTAAATCGGCTGCTGACGAAAGCTCGCGCCTACCTGGACAGCCGCGGCGGGAGCAGACCAAGAACGGACCCCTGGACCCCAAAATCGGCTTCAAGGCACGCCCACTGCAAGTAGGATAAGCACATCTACCCCATCTGGTCGGTTTCTTTGCTCGGGGCGTAGAGGCACAGGATGCTGAAGGTTGTGAGGCAGGCCCCGGCCCTTCCCCACTCTGAACTGCTTTGCTGTCCTGGCGGAGGCTGCAAAAGTCCTGCACTAGTTCCTTTGTCCAAGGAAGGCCATTGCCAAACAGCTCTGCAGCCCACGCAGGGATGTCAACACCAAGCCCATCTGTGATGCCCGCACTCTTTTCTTCTTCTTGCAGAGACCACAAGTTAAAAAAGACGGGCAACAAGGCTAGTTCGTTCTCTTGAAATGATGCCGGCAGTGGCATGTCTATGTCCATCCCGAACGAACCACTGCAGGATGGCTGCTGCAGAAGTGGCGTACTGGGAACGTCATCTTCCACAACAGCTTCATCCTCCGACTCCGAGCTAGACACTGACAGCACTCCGTCCATGCCATCCTCGTCGTTCACTGGCAGCAGCCGCACGCGCACGTAAGCTTCACTGTCTGCACCGCGCACTCCGCAAGACTTCTCTACCTCGGCTGCCCCCAAGTCGACCAAGACAGAGGCAGCGTCTGCGCAAGCTTCACGAGCCCACCCCCACGGTGCTGCGAGAGCAACGACTTCTGCCCATGGAAGCCACACCCCGACAGGAGCCATGCTCGCCAGTCCGACATGAAACCCTCCCAAGCTGACCATAGTGGTCCCAGTCACAAGTGCGATGGTAAAGTAACAACTCCACTGAAAATGCAACTTGCTACTCCTATAGTGTGAACTTCCGTGGAAGCTTGTGTTCTACCACAGGCGCCTAAACCCCAGAGCACCTGTGGCTCGCGGACTCATGCCTGAGCGAACTGTCACTACTATCAAGATATAGTTCACTTGGGCTAGACGGTGACTATTATCCTGATGTTATTCTTTCTAGCTAGGTCATACTGGGTCACACCGTCATCATCATCATCATCAGATTATTGTTTCTACTTGGATCATATTGTCATCATCAGCATGAGATTATTGTTTCTAGTTGGATCATATTGTCATCATCAGCATGAGATTATTGTTTCTAGTTGGATCATATTGTCATCATCAGCATGAGATTACTGTTTCTAGTTGGATCATATTGTCATCATCAGCATGAGATTATTGTTTCTAGTTGGATCATGTTGTCATCATCATCATCATCATGAGATTATTGTTCCTAGTTTGTGCCCGGCGGGGAAACCTTATCATACCATTGTATGATATCATTGTATTTCCCGCCGGGCACCTACTACTACGACTACTACTACTACTATTATTAGTACTTCTACTAATGTTGCTACTACCACGACAGGTAACGGTCGCGTTTGTGACGGTGTGGTTTTCTCCATTTCACCAAATTGTTGAACAAAGTCATCCTGGAACTTTTCTGCTTGATCCACTTGCCCAGTATTTTTGATCTGAGTTGTTTGTGCGTTGTATAATGCGTCCGGGCCTATTTTGCACTTTTTTTGAGAAAAAAACATGTTTTTCCAAGTAGGCTTCCCGGATGCTTTTTCTCATTTTTCATCGGCCCATTAGCCCAAGGGTGTGAGGAGTTCGGATTTATTTTTTCCATCGCCCGATTAGCCCAAGGTTCGCCCCATTGGTCTCAGGGTGTGAGGAGTTCTGACTCAAATTTATGCTCTGCGGTCGCACTTTCCGCATGCCGCGCAATGATGCCGCTGCTTTGCTTGCCACCGTTGCGACCTTTCACAAGGGATCGTTTCATCCCTGACTCTGCCAGGACTTACTATTATTATTATTACTACTACTACTACTATTACTACTACTACTACTACTACTACTACTTCTACGACCACCACCACCACCACCAAGACCATCACCGCCACTGCTGTTACATTGCGAACGCTGCTACGACGACAGCTGATACTACCAGCACTACTGCTGCTGCTACTATTCTCATATTCCTAATCTGCAGCAACAATCAAGCCACCATCAACATCATAGCAGAGCATAGCATAGCATGGATGACAAGAATTGCTCCGCTTCTGGTCATAAATTTCGGACTTTCTCTCAGAAATGATCGAGGAAGTGCGGCTGCACCGTACACAGTGGCGCTTGGCCACAACACGCAAGATACCTGCAAGCTTCCGTACGGCACCTCGAATGTCGCTGGTCCAGCTGCGCTGAGAGAAGCCAGTCCCAAAGCAGAGCCTGCTGGACATCCTGGCGTTCCAAGCGCAGAGGTTGCGGTTGCAGCCCCTAAGCCCGGCGCAGCCATGGTCACGGATGCCAGCAATGCTGCAGACGCTGCCGGTGCTAGCGCTGAGCTTAATGGCCGACGCAAGAGCCTTTTCATTGGGATCAACTACTATGGGACCCAAGCGGAGCTGCACGGCTGTGTGGATGATGTGCACCGCATGCTTCCACTAGTGCGCAGCTGGGGATTTCCAGATGATGAGGCCCACTGCCGGGTGTTGCTGGATTCACCCGACTGGCCTGTGGACAAGCGGCCCACCAAAGCCAACATCAAAGCAGCCATCTCCTGGCTAGTGTCCGGGGCTGCTGCTGGGGATGCGCTATTCATGCACTATTCTGGGCATGGCGGCCGGGAGCCACGAACCGATGGCAGAGGAGAGTGGCACGAGACGTTGTGCCCAGTGGACATGGAGGAGTCAGGCATGCTGATGGACAGTGAACTCTTTGAGTGCCTGGTGCGACCTTTGCCCAGCGGCTGCCGTCTCACGTGCATTCTCGATGCTTGCCACAGTGCTGGAGCCCTAGATCTCCCTTATATCTTCATGGGCACCCCGGAGAACATCAAGAAAGCTCTCGCGGGTGAGGCTGTGCAGATGGCCATGTCCAAGAATTGGCTTCGGGATTTCGAGCGCTGGGAAGATGACCCCTCAGCACTCCTGGGAGATGTTGCTTCTGTTGGACTCGGGCTTTGGGACATGTGGTCCAGGTACAAGGCTTCGACTTCCTCAAACCAGGAGGGCTTTTGCCAAGATGAGCCTGGTAACGTTGGCTTGGCGGTTGGGGAGGTGGTGGCCATCACAGGCTGCGCCTCCGACCAGACAAGTGCTGATGTAGGGGACGTCCATTCCGAATTCCAGCTGCCCATGGGAGGCTCGGGCGGCCACGTTCGTCACAGCAATGCGCGAAGCACGGCGGGGGGAGCCTTGACCTCCGCCTTCATCGAGTCAATGGACCCTGCTGTCTTGCAGGGAAGTAGCGTCAGCCACCTGGACCTCTTGGAACACTTGCGGAGCCGATTGGCTGAGGCTGGTTACAGCCAAGTGCCTCAGTTGGCGTCCTCCATGATTTTGGACCTCAAGCAGTCCAACTTCTCCTTGACGTCCTTGGCAACAACCAAGCAGCGCAATGCCAATAGCAACAGCGCTAATGGCCAGCCCCCAGGCTGGGCCGGTTCAAGCCAAGGAGCAGCGTTTGGCAGTTTTGGTGGCGGGGGTTTTGGGGCAGGTGGTTTAGGCTGCGGCGGCCCGATGGGTGGGGGCCCCATGGGTGGGGGACCCATGGGTGGGGGCCTCATGGGTGATGGTTTGGCAGGCCTTGCTATGATGGGTGCGCAGCAGTTCATGCACCCAAGTGCTCCTCAGGCGCAGCCGGTGCAGCTGCAGCCCCGGGGATTCGATGAGGACGAGTTCGAAGATGGCCTAGCAGAGGATGATTTCCAGGATGATGATGATGATGGCTATGATGACGAGCTCAATGAGGATGACTATGACGACGATGACTACTAGAGAGTAGCGCCGCCTCACCAAAAAGCAGGCACAGTGGGCCTTCATATTCAGTCTTGACCACTTCAGGCGAGTGCAGCACCACCGGGCTGTTTTGTATAGCTCTGTCTGGTTGATCAGCAACACAGGCTTGCAGCATGCATGCGCAGTAGCCAAGAGTGGCTGCAGCTAATTTGCCAGCCGGGCAGTCATTTTAGGTTACTCAGCACAAACGGGTGTTGACACTAAGAACCATCTTAGGTTTCATGGCACAGCTGATATTTGCCCCTGCGCTCGTCCCTAGAATGAACAAGTGGGCAAGATTTTCCTTCCACAAACCCGCGGGCTAATCCGCAAACCAAGCTCCGACACAGCAGAAAAAATGCAGCATCCACCCTCCGTATCATAGCATCGCATTTTTTGGAGCATATTATTGCAATGATGATCGCCATTGTCTGAATTTGCTGAATTTGTTTTAACGCAGGCAATATGAAAATGGAATTTGGGAGCGGTCGCCGGCATGCACGCGCTCCTCCCCGGCAATCCCTCATGGAGAAACGAGAACTGATGATGTTGGGCGAAGGGGGACAGCATCATAGGCATCTCTAGCCATGAGAATTTGCTGGTCTGGCCAGGATGGGTCTCGAGGCTTAATTTACGATGCTTTTTGAATGGATTCTTGCGGATTTCAAGAATCTTTCAAAAATCTTTTCATAACAGGTGGATTTGCTTCAAAATTGTATTGGATTTTTGATTTGAATTTTGGAACGATACAAGGGCCTCTTGAAGATATAGAGGCGTAATGATAGAGATCAAGGATATTGACGAGAAATTATTGACCGTTCTAGGGATATGAATTATGATAATACTCTCCGAATATTTCTTCTTCTGAGAATATATATTCTAAAATTAAAATGATTTTTTTGAGAGATTAATTATTTCTATTTCGAAAAAATGAAGAAAAGATGATTTTATATATTCTCTCATCGATATTTTAGAAAATAATTATCTAGAATAAATATATTATTTGCTGATTCTATTAATTATTAATTTCTCGATCGATTAGATTCGACTATATTGATATAGATTGATGATAATATCGATTTTTTCTAGATAAAGATATATTCTCATTTTTATTAATTATTGAAAGATATTATCTAAGAGAATTTATTCAATTTACTTAATTTATAGATATTTCTGAAATATTTGGAAATTCAGAAATTTCTGAATATATTAATTTAGAAAATCTTAAATAGAATTTTTTAAATTTTATATACTCTATCGAATTATAAATTAGATTTCGAAATAGAAATACGAAAATGGGAATAGCAGATTTTGGATTCGAAAAAATATGATTATATATTAGATTTTCAAAATGAAATGAATCATAGCTCTCATATTTTGATAA